ATACCTTGACTTTAGCAAAGCTTTTGATACGGTCTCCCATAGTATTCTTACCTGCAAGTTAAAGAAATATGGATTGGATGAATAGACTATAAGGTGGATAGAAAGCTGGCTAGATTGTCGGGCTCAACGGGTAGTGATCAACGGCTCGATGTCTAGTTGGCAACTGGTATCAAGCAGAGTATTCCAGGGGGCGGTCCTTGGGCCAATTTTGTTCAACATCTTCATTAATGATCTGGACGATGGGATGGATTGCACCCTCAGCAAGTTCGCGGACAACACTAAGCTGGGGGGAGAGGTTGATACACTGGAGGGTAGGGATAGGATCCAGAGTGACCTAGACAAATTGGAGGACTGGGCCAAAAGAAATCAGATGAGGTTCAACAAGGACAAGCGCAGAGTCCTGCATTTAGAATGGAAGAATCCCAGGCTCTGCTACAGGCTGGGGACCGACTGGCTAAGCAGCAGTTCTGCAGAAAAAGACCTGGCGATTACAGTGGATGAGAAGCTGGATATGAGTCAACAGAGTGCCCTTGTTACCAAGAAGGCCAACGGCATATTGGGTTGCATTAGTAAGAGCATTGCCAGCAGACTGAGGGAAGTGATTATTCCCCTCTATTCGAAACTGTTGAGGCCACACCTGGAGTACTGCGTCCAGTTTTGGGCCCCCCATTACAGAAGGGATGTGGACAAATTGGAGAGTCCAAGGGATCTGGGGTTATTTAGTCTGCAGAAGAGAAGAGTGAGGGGGGATTTGATAGCAGCCATCAACTACCTGAAGAGGGGTTTCAAAGGGGATGGAGCTCGGCTGTTCTCAGTGGTGGCAGATGACAGAACAAGGAGCAATGGTCTCAAGTTGCAGTGGGGGAGGTCTAGGTTGGATATTAGGAAATACTATTTTACTAGGAGGGTGGTGAAGCACTGGAATGGGTTACCTAGGGAAGTGGTGGAATCTCCACCCTTAGAGGTTTTTAAGGCCCGGCTTGACAAAGCCCTGGCTGGGATGATTTAGTTGGGGTTAGTCCTTCTTTGAGAAGGGGATTGGACTAGATGATCTCCTGAGGTCTCTTCCAACCCAAATCTATGATTCTAATTTTTAATATAAATATTTGCGCTGTAAAAAAGATACACAAAAGAAATAGTATTTTTCAATTCACCTCATACAAGTACTGTACTGCAATCTCCTTATTGTGAAAGTGCAACTTACAAATGTAGATTTTTTTTTGTTACATAACTGCACTCAGAAACAAAACAATATAAAACTTTAGCGCCTATAAGTCCACTCAGTCCTACTTCTTGTGCAACCAATCGCTAAGACAAACAAGTTTGTTTACATTTATGGGAGATAATGCTGCCCATTTCTTATTTGCAATACCACCTGAAAGTGAGAACGGGTATTCATATGGCACTGTTGTAGCCAGCATTGCAAGATATTTATCTGCCAGATATGCTAAACATTTGTATGCCCCTTCATGTTTCGATCAGCATTCCAGCATGCTTCCATGTTGATGACAGGTTCTGCCTAATAATGATCCAAAAAAGTGCGGACTGATGCACATTCATTTTCATCACCAGTGCCACCAACAGAAGGTTGATTTTCTTTTTTGGTGGTTCAGATTCTGTAGTTTCTGTATCTGAGTGTTCTCTTTTAAGACTTCTGACAGCATGTTCCACACCTCATCCCTCTCAGATTTTGGAAGGCACTACAGATTCTTAAGCCTTGGGCCGAGTTCTATAGCTAGCTTTAGAAATCTCACATTTGTATTGTCTTTGCATTTTTTCAAATCTGCAATGAAAGTTTTCTTAAATCGAACAACATGTGCTAGGCCGTTCTCCGAGACTGCCATAACATGAAATATATGGCAGAATGCAGACAAAGACACAGAGCAGGAAACATAAAATTCTCCCCCAAGTAGTTCAGTCACAAATTTAATTAACACATTATTTTTAATGAGTGTCTTCAGCATGGAAGCATGTCCTCTGAAATGGTGGCCAAAGCATGAAGGGGCATGGAAATATTTCACATATCTGGCACATAAATAGCTTGCAACACCAGCTATAAAAGTGCCCTGTGAACGCCCTGTTCTGACTTTCAGGTGACACTGTAAATAAGAAGCAGGCAGTATTATCTCCCATAAATGTAAACAAACTTGTTTGTCTTAGCGATTAGCTCAACAAGAAGTAGGACTGAGTGGACTTGTAGGTTTTAAAGTTTTACATTGTTTTGTTTTTGAGTGCAGTTATGTAACAAAAAAAAATCTACATTGGTAAGTTAAACTTTCATGATAAAGAGATTGCGCTACAGTACTTGTATGAGGTGAACTGAAATATATTATTTCTTTTGGGGTTTTTTGCGTTGCAAATATTTGTAATAAAAAAGAATATAAAGTGACCACTGTACACTTTGTATTCTGTGTTGTAATTGAAATCAATATATTTGAAAATGTAGAAAAAGATCCAAAAATATTTATATTACATTTCAATTGGTATTCTATTATTGTTTGAGAGTGCGATTAAAACAGCAATTAATCACTATTAATTTTGAGTTAATTTGTTTTGAGTTAACTGCTTGAATTAACTGAGATTAATTGACAGACTCAGTTATTTTACTTCTGTATTTGGCACTAGTGTGACCACTGCTGGAATATCCCAGTTCTAGTGTTCACATTTCAAATAGGATGCTGATTAACTGGGGAGGGTTCAGAGAAGAACCACAAGAATTATTAAAGGATTACAAAATATAACTTATAGTGATACACTTGAGGAGCTCAATCTATTTAATTTAACAAAGAGAAGATTATGGGGTAACTTGATCACAGCCTATAAGTATCTACATGGGGAACAAATATTTGATAATCGGCTCTTCAGTCTAGGAGACAAAGGTACATAAGGTCCAATGGCAGGAAGCTGAAGCTAGACAAATTCAGACAGGAAATAAGGAATTAATTTTGACCAGTGAGGGTAATTAATTAGAGGAATCTGTAATAAATTAGGTGAAATATTTTGTTCTACCCCACCTGCATTTTTCTGATGTAGTTAAGTTTAGCTGGAAATTTCCAACCAACTCTACTGTCCACATATGAATGGAGTGCCCAGAAGAAACAACAGAAGACCTAACAACTGGACATTAATTCCTAATGACTGCCAGCCAAGAGTAAGTTATTTCCTCCAACTCTCTGTAGGGAAGCAAAGAGGAAAATCCCCAGCAGCTGGGACCCGGTGTGAAGGGACTGGGTTTTAAGTTTGCTGCTGCAGACAGACACACACGGGGTCAGAGAGGAACAGAGACTAAGACTGGCTTCATCAAACCATGGAAAGAAAGGGAAGTTGCTAATGAATTAAGCTTTGCTTTACCATTCTAACCTGGGCTCTTAAATACTGTATGTCAGCTGACTAATATACTCAGGGGGAATTCTGTGCCACTGCACAATACAGAATTTTGCAGAAATTAGTGTTGGATGCACAGAATTTCCTTCCCCCCCCCTCACAGAAATGGGCTACAGAGATGCTGGCTGCCACTAGGGGATGATGGACCCAGCAGAGCCCAGCTTGCAAATAAAAGATACTACTGGGGGGAGGGCGAGGGAACTGGAGAGTTTCCAGCATCTGCAGTTCCCAGCACACCTTGAAGGAAGGAGGCGGCAGCACACAAGAAAACCTGTGCAAGCCCAGGAGCTGCAAATACTTATTGGTTGCATTGCTTCTTGGAGGGGTAAAGTCTCTAACAACAGTCTGAACTCATTTGCACTCCCTGTAGAGCACACAGTGAGAACCAGTGATACTATAGCTTGGAGGTCCAGTCTCTGAGTCATGGGGTTGCATGGCTCGCCTTTGTAAAAAGCGACACCTAAGGTCTCTGAAAGGGATTATAGGAAGACTGGGATATTGAACCGCCTGTAGATTCATGACAGAAGGCATAGTCAATATTACCTTTTTACAAAGCAGATGTTGAGGCCTAAACTATATCGAAAATCCTTTGAGGAAACTGGTAAAA